TCCGATTGGGGGTGGTCTTGGCGTTGGAGCGTTGGTTGATCATCTCTTATCCCTGAGCATGGGATGGTCTGGTGTTTGAGCCGCGGCGCTTGTATGTAGATAAAACTGCAATCAATGTTGTTTCATCTATCGAGGATATGATCTCGTTCAAAATCAACTCTTTATCTGCTGTCAGATTCCACGACAATTTTTGTTCATCACATTTTTACAGCAGCGCATATCTGGTATGGATTTGCTCGAGACAAACCCACTGGCGGATGTTGAAACGGCCGATACCCGCAGTTTATCCAAGGCAATTGATGCAGCGAGCTGGTCGGTATTTCTGCAAGTTCCATTTGATGAGTGGGTTTTGAAAGCAGCCGGGCGCAACGCACATTTGGTGGATACATTCCTTTGGTACCACGAAATGCTCAGCGTTCGGCTGTACTACCGCCTTCGACGGTGTTCAGAGGCGCAGAAGGTCAAAAGCGACCTTCAAGGGGTAAGCCGAAACCGGTTGCTTTGTTTGCATTGTGTGCTAACTTTGAAGGAAGATCATCGCTGAAGTAAACCCTTTTGCACGCATGGTGATATCGAGCGGCATCGAATCGCTGAACGGACGGATTGTGAACTGCGATCTGAATATCGGCTTCATTGTTGGCCCTCTGCGTGATCTCCAAACCGATGATCTGACCCCGGACGTATTGAACCTCCTGGATATTCGCTTTCGGCGGACCTATCACCGACAACGGGATAACGATGAGATGGCCGAGTTTCGAACCGACACCTCACTTTTCCGCGGCATTAATCACACGCCGCCTGGATTACTAGCCAGTTCAATCACAGAAAACGACCTGAGGTCCTTCCGCGATGATTATGCTCTCATGTTCTTGGAGGTCAATGGCCTCCACAAGTGGCTCAGTGCCTTGGGTCGTTCTTGGAATTGTCGATGTGAAGATGTTACCAACTGTCTTCAAGCTGACTCAAAGCACAGTGCTGCGTTAGTCGAACTTGCTTTGATAAGCCTTAATGCCGCCTTCTTGTCTACTGGTTCTTTTTTTTAACGCGCCATCAAAGTGCTTATACGAACGTCGAAATTTCCACGGGTCAACTGCGATAATCTATGGTTTGAAGCAAGCTGGGTGTGACGGCGAGATGATTCCCCTGCAGCTGTCGAGCATTGTCAACTATCAAGCGTATCGCGATGAGTTAAAAAAGGGACCGGCATTGCCATTTGTGTTTTTCTCTATCAAAGAGCTCGCGTTGTTGATTGACTGCCTCAGGCGCCACAGACCATCCTCCCTGGAGTATAAAGAACATTTGCAGGGTGTATTGTGTACAATCGAAGAGCTATTTGTATTTAAGTATTACATGACTGACACAAGCAAGGCGACAGGCACCATGCAGCGGATTGGAAGGCTTCTCAATATCAATTTATGTTTCAACTTTTAGCATTAGATAACACACTGCAATCTAGTTTACCTTACCCACTCTTCCATCCTTCTATTTCTCTTCTGCCGGTGGGAGGGATAGAGTTGGTCATCCGTGCCGCTCCCTTGTAGTAAGTCGTCCAGTTTACAATTCCCAAGTTTAAAGAAAGTTTCTGCAGGAGGAGCTACCGGGAATGAGCTTGGCTATCAATTAGAGTATGCCATGTAACGCAGCGAAATGAGCGGTGTATGTAAGAGCCTCTCAGACAACTGGCAGCCTTGCACAAGGCTGTCAAATGAGAGCAGGCCCAAAGGTTGATGGCGGGAATTTCTGGTTTTAAAAGGAAGCTTGCTTGTCAAAAGTCGCTTGCAGGAAAAGCTCCTTTTCTTTCTTTCATTTCTTTCTCCTTCTTTTTGTGTGTTTGATCTGTTTTCCCAAGATGATGAATTCACCGCCCGTAAGATTCATATTTCAGGAGGTTTGGAATTTAACACCATCATAAGTTTGAGATATATTGACAAACTGGAGCTAGTCTGACTGTGGGATAGGCGATTGGCCCCACAACCGAAAAAGTCGCCAAGGTTGAAATTCACATGGACTTCCCCTCATGATACGGTGCGGTCTCGAGTCCGCAAGGCCCCGCGCCATCATGCGCAGAAACACATTGTCATGAAAACTAAGGTTGAGACAGCATCTGGTGTCACGCTGGACCTCCATCAGGAGGGTGATAAAGTACTTGAGGCTTTTAACTCGGATGGATATGTTATATTCAAGGGTGCTGCCGATACTGATTCCATGGAGGAGGCTATAGTCAAACAACCACAAACTAGACCAATCACTAGCTTGTGGTTGTTCGACTATATCTTTTTTCAATGCTGCAGTTAGTGATTGGTCTAGCTTGTGGTCGTTCGACTGTCCTACCTTCTTCAGCGCCGCAGCTAGTGATTGGTCTGGCCTGCAGTCGTTTGAATCTACCCCATTCGACACTACAGCTGGTGATAGGTCTAGCTGCTGGTCATTTGGGCATCCTCCGCCTCAGAACGCCATAGCCCTAGTGATCGGTCTAGGTCGTGGCCACAGTCGCGGTAGACCCACCCTCTGTCCGGAATCCTAACTCTTCACCCCCATCATCTTCTTCCGCTGAATCCTCGCCCGTATCCTCTTTGCCAGTCTCTTCACCAGTCTCCTTGCCAGTCTCCTCACCTGTCTCCTCTTCTCTATCGCTCATATGAAGGAGGGCATCACGCTCCCCCTGGCTTAACGACTGAAACAATTTCTCTAAAGCCAAGGCCTTTTTCACTATGCTCTCTGTGGATCGATCACTCGGAGTCTTCACTGCTCCCATCTTCACAGCTGTCAACTTCTTGCGCAGCAGGGTTTTTCACTAGTTCTGCTATGTTCTTGCCGAAATTTTCACCTAATGCTTCTGTGCCCATAGATCAACGTACGCGATAGCAAAATGATGTGAGGAATAAGAAAAAGGGGGAGGGGGAAGCGATCTTGATATATATATTGATGCGATCATTCACCTACACAACCCCAGCCTTCCGACCCCTGCCACCCAGAGAACCTTCCCCCCGCCACAATGAGGCTTCCGCCTCCATCTACCTCATCAAAGAATTGTGATTCCTTTACAATCCCTTTCTTTCCTTGTTTGCCCTGCAGCTGTTTTTAGATTGAGAAGCT